GGGGGGGCCTAGAATAATGTCTAGAGATTTGAGGCTTAAAGAAAATATGTTGCTTTAAGTAAAATTGTATTCATTCCCTTTCTTTTCCTTTTGATTTGCTTTACTTACCCAAGCTCTTTAGTCCTTAAGCTGTCCAAAAGTTTCATGTTGCAGGTCTTTTGGATTCAGATTTCCATTGAAAGTTTGAAGCGTTCCATTGAGATTGAATGATTTTGCAAGTCTTTGGATTCAGATTTCCGTAGAAATTTAAGAAGCTAGTTCTATTTCCATTGATTCATTCCCTTTTATTGTAAATAGTATTCCAGATGTCTTCAAAGTTAGGTTTCTTGATTCCTTTAATTTTAGTATTGCCAGAGTAGCTCCAGAGGTAGCTAGCTAAGGATTCCTTATTTATTGGTCAATTGATTGGTTTTCTTATATATTATATTGGAGGGCTTGGTTGTTGAGAGGGGGGAGTTTATGAATCAATGGACTACATTACCTATCCCATAAGTACCACTGTAGGGTCCCCATAAGGTCTCTCGACCTCTTTTTGTCGCTCATACGGAGGAGTCTAGGGTCGAACCAATTTTTAGGTTTGACCCTGAAAGGAGGACCATTTTCCAAATAGGCGGTGGTTTTCCGCTGCCAGGGAGTGTAAATGTACTAGAACCTGAGTCACCCTGCCCAAATATGTTGCTTTTCCTATCAAGCCAGGGGTCAAATGGGTGATATATGATATATCATGTTGTTGTTCTTTGTTTTTCCACAATATCCTGGACCTTCAATTGATGCCAACAATGGGGTAGGACCAAAAACAGGCACAGAAGCCCCTATGCGGCAAATGCCTAAAACGTTTGGATGCGTTTGAAGGTTCAGTAATACTACGCAGATTCTTCAGGTCTTCTCCTACCAAAACACTCCGTGCATGAAACATTTGCTACATTGGACCTACATTGGAGGGGCAAATGTAGGCATACCCATTGAGTGTGTGGGTATTGATCCGACCCCACCCACAAAGATTGGTGGCTGAGGTGGGAACTGGAAGTCATGGAAGAGTTGAAAGCCAACCCTATCATACAGTGCTACAGGTCAGTGAACGACCTCATGAAGCACTGGAGTCTATCATAGAAACACTCTACTGAACATGAAGGTTTAAGGACCAGGAGACTGGACGGGCACTGAAGAGCGTGCACTCTGGTGACCACTGCGGTGCAATTCACCACCTTTGAGGGTCCCAAAACAGCGCCAGGAAGGTCCTAGTTGCCAAACTCAAGGTCGCTTAAGGTTGAGACCTCCCAAATAACGGTCCCCTTCTAACATAGGACATCTCACGACCAGTGTTCTCTTGAAATGGAAAGAACTTTTTAAGCTTCTTCGAGACCCATGTCACATGTCTTTCCCGGATTCAGTGTCAGGAAGCTGGATCTACTCTACTAGGTCGAGTTGGGTAGCAGTCAGTTTGAGCTACCCCGAGGAATGCGCACTGTTTGATGACAAGGGTCTCACTTGCGACACCAAAGCGGACTCATTTGCGACACCAAACAACAACAACAACTACTACTACTACTACAACTACAACTACTACTACTACTACTACTACTACTACTACTACTACTCTTCGAGTGATCCCCACCATGACATTTCAATCATTTGTCTTGATGCCATTAGTATTGTAGTTCTCGATGTTGCTTGTGGGTCCTCAGGTTGTGCGCTGTGGTTGTGTGCTGTGTTGTGGTTGTGGTTGTGTTTGCGGTTGTGTGTTTGTGGGTGTGTTTGTGGTTGTGTGTTTGTGTGTTTGTGGTTGTGTGTTTGTGGTTGTGGTAGCGCTTGTGATTGTGTGTTTGTAGTTGTGGTTGTGGTTGCGGTTGTGTCTTTGTGATTGTGTGTTTGTAGTTGTGGTTGTGGTTGTGTCTTTGTGATTGTGTGTTTGTAGTTGTGCTTGCGGTTGTGTGTTTGTGGGTGTGTTTGTGGGTGTGTTTGTGGTTGTGTGTTTGTGTGTTTGTGTTTGTGTGTTTGTGGTTGTGTGTTTGTGGTTGTGTGTTTGTGTGTGTGTGTTTGTGGTTGTGTGTTGTGTGTATGTTTGTCGTTGTGTGTTTGTGATTGTGTCTTTGCAGTTGTGTTTGTAGTTGTGCGTTTGTGATTGTGTTTGTAGTTGCGTGTTTGTGATTGTATTTGTGATTGTGTTTGTGATTGTGTTTGTGATTGTGTGTTTGTGGTTGTGTGGTTGTGGTTGTGTGCTGTGGTTGTGTGCTGTGTTTGTGGTTGTGTTTGTGTTTGTGGTTGTGTGTTTGTTGTGTTTGTGGTTGCGTGTTTGTGGTTGTGTGTTTGTGGTTGTGTGTTTGTGGTTGTGTGTTTGTGGTTGCGCGTTTGTAGTCGTGTGTTTGTGATTGTGTGTTCGTGGATTTATCTGGCAAACTATCTGGTTGAGGTCCAGCGGTGCACACTGCGATCGGATCCTTGCGGTTGAGGTCCAGCCGTGCACACTGCGATCGGATCCTTGCGGTTGAGGTCCAGCGGTGCACATTGCGATCGGATCCTTGCAGGCGTGCACACTGCGATCGGATCCTTGCGGTTGAGGTCCAGGGATGCACACTGCGATCGGATCCTTGCGGTTGAGGTCCAGGGGTGCACACTGCGAGGGGATCCTTGCGGTTGAGGTCCTTGCGAAGGAGGAAGGAGGAGGACGAGGAGGCGGCGGAGGCGGAGGCGGAGGCGGAGGCGGAGGCGGAGGCGGAGGCGG